ATAATTTGTTGCGTGACGTCATCAGTGCTGAGGGCGGTCGGGTAGCCTAGTGGTTAAAGCGTTCGCTCGTCACGCCGAAGACCCGAGTTCGACTCCCGACATGGGTACAATGTGTGAAGCCCATTTGTGGTGTCCCCCGCCGTGATATTGCTAGAATATTGCTAAAAGCGGCGTAAACCCTCCCTCACTCATTCATCGGTGCTGAACTACATGAAATGAAGCTGATCAGCCGCCATGCACCCCCGTCGATGGTACATTCTTTTCCTGGATGTTTGTTTGTTTGTAGCTAAACGCCGCCCTCAGCAATTTTCCAGCTAAATGACGGCGGTCTGTAAATAATCGAGTCTGGACCAGACAATCCAGTGATTGATATCACGAGCATCGATCCACGCAATGGGGATACGATGACATGCATCAACCAAGTCAGCGAGCCTGACCACCCGATCTTACGACTAGCATAGGTTGCTGAAGACCTATTCTAACCCAGATTTTCACGGGTCGAACCTGATGATGCATTATAGGAGAAATAATGAGTGAGTGAGTGAAAGAGTTGCGTTTAACGCCGCTTGAACAGCTTTGATTGTTGCGTTGGTTCAGTCTTACAAAATTACATGAAGATTAGGCTTCAAACCCGGATAGTATTTGAAAGGTATCGCACTCACCACTAAGTTATCCTACCACCCATTATTTATACGCGTTTCTTAAAGAGCAACCCCTGGATTGGACACATGCAACCCTTCACATTTACCTGATCAGTCTGAATAGCAGACCTGTCTAATAGAACCGCGGGTGACCTTTTTGTGACCACTCGGACATGGATGAATCACCAGCATGGGTCATCTGAAACAGATATACCCTAACAAGCCTATTCTACCAGGTATCCTATACATCATCTCCTTGTAGAAGTGACAGTGTAGATAACGTGGCCCTATCAGACAGTCGTTACAAGCTGATTTTTCCTATGTATTACGGCCAGGAACGTGTAGCTGACACGCTGTTCAAAGCGGCGTCAAACCCAACTTACTCACTATCTTGTAGAACAGTCAAACAAATCTCTCTCTCTCACTCTCTCTGTTTGTCCGTGTCTTTAGTTTTGTCTGTCTGTCTATTTCTGCCAGAGTCTATTATATACCCCGATGCATAACTGCCTGTCATTTTATATCAACTTATATTAAAGATCATAATGCATCTAGGTACAGTTCAGCAACGAAACGAAACAATACAAGGCGTGGGTTCTAAGTCTGCGATAATCGATGGCTATGCCATTACCTCCTACAGGAATGTGAAGGCCGTCCATTTATCAAACACCACATATGTCAAAACCAGTAAATTGGAAAACGCTTAAATTTGTCGCATTTGTGTACGCTCATTGTCGCTCAACTACAGTCATCAGCATGTTTGTGTGTATTGTTGGTCCTCTGTTGTCAACGCAAGGGCCACTTCAAGCGAGTATAATCTTTGACTTGAAGGTAAGTTACTTATAACGGTAACACGGCGTGTGTGTATTAGTTCGTGAGTATTGTCAGCGTTTGTTTGTGCACTTGACCTAAATAGTTCAGCATGTCATTCTATAGGTGGCTGTAGAATCGATTGATTTGAGTTGTCTCGCAAGTACGTGACTTCGGCTAGATCATGAGAATTAATGAGTTTACTACATGAAAGAAGCTACACTGTTTAATTATCTCCATTGTCAACTTTAATGACTTTCTATCACAAAGGTTTTCATTTCTGAGTCAAGGTATAAGTTCGTAATTAAACAATTAACCCTCGAGTGACAAAGTCTCCATTTGTCCATCATAAATAAGTAAATTAAGTTAAATTTCTGAACTGAATATTAACTTTGATAGTTGTACGTATTTTCTTTGTAATACATTTAAGACTCTTTAACGCTACGTGTCTTAAAATTAAATGTGAATCTTCCTCAATATTTTATATTGGTATGACAAAGACGAGCTTAGGTATTACCCAAGGACTCGTGAGTCACATAATCCATATTATTCATATGTTTCTATTTAAATTTGAAACGCGTCCTCAACATCGTGTGTTCATGTTTTAACATGCAAAAGATTATCTCTAAGTTCTTACATTAAGAAAATGTTATGAGTCAACAATTCGCTGTCCATTGGATGCTTAAATGGAGGTAACACTAATATTTACATTCTAGTTCATTGCTTGTCTCTAATCTACATACCTGTTGATGGAAATAATATCTTGTTGGTACAGTTTGAAAATGTCAACGCAAAGCATCATTAAAGCTTACTGTGCAAAATGCCAGTATGTGTTGTAAGTTGTATTATTTAACATGACCTGTAGAAGAAGCAAAATCGTCAGTGTCGTGTTAACGTATATTTTAACATATACAACCCAGACTACATCGCATAACATTACTCAATGACACGCGTGCTTATAAATAGACAACAAATGTCACGTATACAATTCAGCGTTTATATTTATAATCCAACACGTTACAAAGTGGAACATAAATAATCGTGTACATAGACATATGTAAGGAAGTATAGTAATTATTAATCCGACATATCTTAAATATCTTCAAAATGCATTGAGAAAAAATAAAAACAAGTATATCTTAATATCGTCTGATTCACTGAACAAGGTTCGTAACCGTAGTTTATAATGCATATTTTGATCTATACAAGTGTTTTAAGCCCCCGCGAGTCACCTGCTATTCAAATAGATAGTTGTCATGAACATGTCAGGAAACTGTCTTAGGAAATGAAGTACACATAGACCTTTGCGGCCCTACATTACCGGAATCCCAGTCCACGCATAACAAAAACACATCTGTGCTCACGTAACGTGTACAACATCATATGTCCTATGCTTATTCATGAGTGGAAATATATGTCGTATTTAGAGAATAACCACCTAGCTACGGGGATTTACGGATTACGCCATGCGTGAATTAATGTTGTGAACCCCTAGCCTTGGCGTAGTTCCGAGTTGCGAGTAGGTCATTCTTAGTGTTACCCATAGACAATGTAACAATGACATCAACTTAGTCTATTGTTGGAACGACGTCACACAGCGTATGATGTTATGAACCAGATGACGTCATAGTCATTTATTTACGACAATGAATTTGTATCACGTCAAGTTGCTTTGTGGCCTCTTCGCAAACAATGTACAAACGGACAATTGGAGAAAACTAGCGAATCAGTGTGAGGTAAAAATGACAATTGCTCAGTTAGAATTAATGAAAATAATGTCAACTACATTAGTGCCCCTATGTCCATATATTATATATATTAGGCAAATAATTATAGTTATGCAATTGATTAGTTAATCGCTTTTCTGTTTCTCATATGTATATATGAGAATATAATTGTACACAAGAAACAAGACATTGTTTACGTCGCTCATCGAGTTTCATCGATGCAGGTGTAGTAACCTGTTTCATAAAACAAAACAAATCATTTCACATTGATATAATTTGACTTACACTTTTACGTTTCAGGGTCCAAAGTATCCCTGTGTCAAAAATCTCCCTAGGCCAAGTACATCATACTCAAAATTCTCCTCAATTCTGGTTTTGTAGTGTAAATAACATGTCCCAGGTTGGGGAGGTGGGGTAGACTTGTGGTTTAAACGTTCGCTCGTCATGTCGAACACCCGGGTTAAATTGAGTGAGTTGGGTTTAACGCCACTTTTAACAGTATTCCAATTATATCGCGGCGTGTCAGCTTAATGTGGGAGGAAAGCCCGAAGTGATGCAGGTCTCAGACGTTTACCACTTCGGTGAACCCACGAGCACGGGTATGGTGCTGACAAACCTAGTAACATAATCAGGTCGAACCGGGATTCGAACCCACAATCATAGGTTTCTGGCGTGCCCCAGGGACGCAACTCTGCACAGCGAATCGCGGCGTCTTAGACGACTGGGCCACCCGTGTAAAGCAACTTTATGTCATCGTATCCCGACCCCGAGGGACACTGGTCGTACACTGCCAAGCTAATGTTATGCCGTGATAGCTTAACCTGCATCTTTCGGTGTGCCATGTTGAACAAACCAGATAGATATGTGACCAGCCATGATATAAGGGACCTTATTGGTGAAATATCACATTTTGACTTCTTATTATATTTTAAAACTACAGTATCTTAGGAACACCAAAATAGAATTGACAAGCTTCAATTCACATTTATTACAGAGACACAGGGCATCAAAGATTTGGACTCATTTTCTGCAGAGTCCAATTTTCAGACTTATGACCGTTAGTAATAATTACATTTCTAAAAAAAAATGTCTGATTAAATAAAAGTAGATGTGTCTGGTGTAATGCTTTGAAATAGTGTGTTTACTACGTTACGAAACACGAGATGAAAATACAATATTTTTTACAGTCTGCACTTTACAGTCCGTCGAACGTCTTTCTTAATGACGTCACATCACAATTGTATCCAAGGTCCCTTTTCTCCTGGTTGGTCACATATACAAATATTTCGCGGAAAATGGTTAAATATGAAACGCTGTCGATTTACTACGGTCACCACGGAGTGATGAAATGTGTTACGATTTACAGTTATAAATTACCGTTAACTGAATAACATATGTAGTAAACAATATTAATAACTGACATTTACAAGACATTTATTGAGGATGGATATAAGGGCACAAGTAATACCCATGCATTGCTATAATATAGTATGTAGACCACACACAAGTTCGTGTGATACAAATAAGAATTTTATTAAAGTGAAAGAGTAATGTATCAGTATTTCCATGATGTCTTATTGGAAACAAAAATATGGACCGAACACACATTAGAGTTGGAGCACACAGTCCTTGATACTTTCATAATGGTCTTCGCCCACATTTAAAAGAACTCAAGTGTACACATACATACCACTGTCACGACAGAGCACATCCCCGTGTCTACAATCTAAAACGTACCGGGTTAGCTTCACAAAGTCAACATCCGTGTAAGATAGATATAACGATTATACTTAACAAAACTAGTGTACGACAAACAATAACTTACCTGTTAGATGTCCACTGTTGCTTATATCCAGTTAGGCCGAGCGACTGATCAGTTCGTCTTCACTGAAACTGTCGTCTGCGCGTGTCAACTATTCTCGCGAGATGTGACGTACAACGCAATGTTTCACCACCAAGATCATGGACGTTGGGTAGACGGACGTGAGAACTGTACGCAAGGAAACTTTGACTCGCTCAGGAAGTGACAGTTCAATAGTCCTGCACGATACTCTAGACACAGTGCTGTGTGCTGATGGCAGACGGTATAATCTTCTGCTCCGCTCAACTGAGCACGGGCTGTGACCTGACTGTCAAAACAGGTCAGGCAGGTGGGTGGTTGGAAACGGGGGAGTGGGGATTGAATACCTGCGTTCACTCTCTCATTTCGTGCTCTAAAGCTGCGATGGGAATACCTGTGTATCAGTCTACGGACGACCTCATTAAGAGTGCGACTAACAAGTTCGGACACTCGCACTCAATGACAGGGAACTTTTCAAAGGGGTTATTTGTTGAAGGATTTGCGTGTCAAGAACATGTTCGAAATTGTATTCAAGAAATGGACAATTTTAAAATAATTGTTGTACTTCCTTACAGTAATAAAAGCTCCGTCTCATGAAATATTATGTTAACTCACCAAGTACCTTTCCTTGGTGTTTTTGTCTCGTTTATTTTGCCTTTCAGTTCCATACATAGCTTACAGCTGCACAATATCAGTCCTTAAGCACATTGAATGTACCCAACATTGACCTAAATAGCAATTCATTTCAAACCACAAAACGACACCTTTCCACACTGCATATCAATGTATTGCCTTCCCGTATACATGTGCATGCATGAACCGATTTCTTCGCTAAAAGACACACCATTTCCAAGCAATAAAATGACATACTTCTGCACATACAACCTTTTTAGTTTTGTTTGTTGTTTAACGCCGCATTCAGCAATATTCCAGCTATATGACGGCGGTCTGTAAATAATCGAGTCTGGACCAGAAAATCCAGTGAGTGACATCATGAGCATTGATCCACGCAATTGGGATACGATGACATGCATCAACCAAGTCAGCGAGCCTGACACCCGATCCCGTAAGTCGCCTCTTACGACAAGCAAAGACGTACATCCCTATTTATACACTATGTATATGAATATATATTTCGGTCTATTTAACCAAGCATGTGTATTTACATATCTTAAAACAAAGGAGTTGAACATTTTAAAACAAGAAAACAACAACAATTGGGTGGCCCAATCGTCTAAGTGCCGCTGTGTCTCCCTTGGGCAAGCCAGAAACATGATTGTGGGTTCGAATCCCGGTTCGTCCCGATTATGTTTCTAGGTAAAGTGGTAAACGAGTTCTGCATCGCTTAGGGCTTTCCTCCCACATTTAGCTGACACGCCGTCATATAACTTGAATACTGTTCAAAGCGGCGTTAAATCCAATTCACTCACCCACTCACTTTATAAACTGTGCAAGAAACTTTCGTCATTTAACGAAACAGTTCTTTTTTACATTCACTAATACAAACATTCAAATGATTTTATCCTAAGGGGAATTTAATGTACACAACTAATGTTATTCTCCTTGTCAATATGTTTATTACCTTCCCCTTGGATTCCCCTTGTTTTGTAATAAACATCTGTAACTGTACTTCAAGTGCAACATTTATTGCATATTTTCATGACCTTTACCGTTTCCCGACACTAAGTCCATATCTTGTTCATAATGGGGAAACGGGTGGTTCAGCGATCTAACTCCTTCAGTTTCGTCCCTTGACCGTAGCAGGATCTGCAGATCGTGGGCTTCCCAGATTCGCCCGATTATGAACCTTGGTCTTTCAGCACGGATCCGTGCTAATTGTTTTACGACCTTCATCTCGTTCAGGCCTTCCTCGCTGATTCGCCGTGATATCGTGAACTCGTGACATCCTCACATTGTGTGTACATGTATCTTATCAGCCAAAGACTGGCTTCCATGGGTGATATGGCTTGGGTGAGATCAAATGGTATATGGAGATATTGGAGATATCGCTACAATGTAATTGCATCACAATGCTTTGCAAACCATTGTGACGCCATTGGTTACCATGATGTCACAATCAAATGACGTCACTAAGCTCTCTGGTTTACTCTCACTGCAGTGTTTATTGTACGATAAACAACGACCACGAGTCGTTTATTTCCTATATGGGAGAGCAACATTACATGTATGTACAGCCTCTTTAAGGATTGTAATGAAATGTACAAGCTTTAAACATATTTTTCCATATTCAAATAATGATAACTCCCTGAATACAATCCGACCTCGTCAATGACGGACAAGTTAAGTTTGGTATTTCCCTCATATTCTGGCCATTTTCACGTCGATTATCTGTACCTTTTTTCCCAATACTGATTCTCATATCTCTCCCACTTTTGGGTGCGATCGTTCAGCCATTGCGTTTATCTACATTGCCCAGCTACATCTATTGGGAACAACTCACGAGACACTCCCCTCTCAAAAATAACGTCGTCCAATACACGTTATCAAGTTCGAATCTCCAGAAATGACGTCATAATAGAACAATGTTTCATCGTGAAATAAACCACGCTTTGTTCTTCATTGTTTTTTGCGATTTATTGCTTAGCTATCATATATTACTGCTTACAAACTATTAAAGAATTATTTTGGATCTCACCTCTAGAATCTTTTGACATCAAATATATCAACATTCATTCAAAATCCATTTACACATTGCAAGTAACCAACTATAAGTGAGTGAGTGAGTGAGTGAGTTGGGTTTTACGCCGCTTTTAACAGTATTCCAGTTATATCACGGCGTGTCAGCTTAATGTGGGAGGAAAGCCCGAAGTGATGCAGGTCTCAGACGTTTACCACTTCGGTGAAACCCACGAGCACGGGTGTGGTGCTGACAAACCTAGAAACAAAATCGGGGCGAACCGCGGTTCGAACCCACAATCATACGTTTCTGGCGTGCCTAAGGGACGCAACTCTGCACAGCGAATCGCGGCGCCTTAGACGACTAGGTCACCCGTGCCCCCTACCCAACTATTAATGACTTTTATTGTCCATATAATTAATATAAAAAAATATTTGGGTGATATTCTTTATTTATTGTATGAACTTAACACTTAAAAATAGTAATAATTTTTTTTTTACAAACAGTGTAACATCAGAAATATTTACCAAGGTAAAAGAATAACTTTATCAACACACCCATTCAAATTGATTACAGGCGAGCAGATAGCACACGGCGGAATAGTTGTGTCTCTGGGTAGACAATCAATTCCCATTTAACACCCTCTTCACCCTCCGTCGTTGATTATGGATAGTGATGGCAGAATCAGGCCAACATCAAACGATACATAGCGCTAGCGCTAAAACTACGCTATCTACCCTTAGCGGGTTCATATATACTTTGTGTTTAAACCATAAGACAGGTATTGGGTCATGTCACGGGATAGACAGAGATTAACAAAGTAAATAATATAAGTGCTGAATTATCAATATGTACCAAAATACTAATTACCCTAGCAATTGTTGAACTGGGTTCAAACACATTCGGTTATGGCATATTCCAGGTGTCCCCCAATACTTACCTTACCTTACCAAGAGGCAGTTGGTTTATGTTTTTCTGGTCACAACAAAGATGCAGGATGTATTCCCCAAAAGGTTAAAAAAGTCCATTCTTGGTGTCCATAGTAATGACTGTGATAATTCATACATCTGCGTCACAACAATCTTATGTATTCATTGGCATAAAAGGGAGACCGAGTTCTCATGGAACCTGTAGTTAAACTGCCAACATATATACTTAGTTGGTTAGTTTGTTGTTTTACGATGCACTCAGCGGTATTCCAGCTATATGACGACCACCCGATCCCGTTAGTCGCCTCTTACGACAAGCATCGTCGCCTTTAACGGCATGTATGGGTTGCTGAAGACCTATTATACCCCGGATCTTCACGGGTCACAGATATAGTTAAACAATGTGAAGCGATTCACGGCAAGTGGTTGTTTGTGCCAAACTCAAACTGATGAAAGAGCTGATTAAATCTCTCAAATCAATATGAAATGTACAACATTGAACTACACTTGACCAGAAGTGCTTTCACTTCACCAACATCTGTTATGAAAGATGCGCTACGAGTGGTTGCTTATGAGATACGAGAATAAGGATCACACAAACCAGTGACTGATAGCATGGACATCTATCTGCGCCATGATATGGATCACACAAACCAGTGACTAATAGCATGGATATCTATCAGCGCCATGATATGGATCACACAAACCAGTGACTAATAGCATGGACATCTATCAGCGCCATGATATGGATCACACAAACCAGTGACCAATAGCATGGACATCTATCAGCGCCATGATATGGATCACACAAACCAGTGACTAATAGCATGGACATCTATCAGCGCCATGATATGGATCACACAAACCAGTGACTAATAGCATGGACATCTATCAGCGCCATGATATGGATCACACAAACCAGTGACTAATAGCATGGACATCTATCAGCGCCATGATATGGATCACACAAACCAGTGACTAATAGCATGAGCATCTATTAGCGCCATGATATGGATCACACAAACCAGTGACTAATAGCATGAGCATCTATTAGCGCCATGATATGGATCACACAAACCAGTGACTAATAGCATGAGCATCTATTAGCACCATGAGATATATCAGTCAAGCCTTGTTGACAATAAGAAGTCGTAGTGGCCATCGTTATGTACCAAGTCTGTAGATTCTCATGGGTATGACTATCATTAAAGAAGTCCATCAATAACCTGTTCTATTTGTCAATGTTACGCATGAGAAACAGTCTGTATTCAGGAAAATAATACATAATTTACAAGATACGAACCGTTGAATTGTTTAAATCCCAATTGCGCAGATGACAGTCACGCTACACTGGTCAATGAGCTGTAGACCCGTGAAGATTCCGTGGAAGAAAAGGCCTTCAGCAACCCATACTTGCCGTAAAAGGCGACTAACGGGTCAGGCGACTGACTTGGTTGATGCACGTCATCGTATCCAAATTGCGTGGATCGATGCTCATGATGTCACTCACTGGATTAACTGGTCCAGACTCGATTATTTTACAGACCGCCGTCATATAGCTGGAATATTGCTGAGGGCGGCGTTAAGCAACAAACAAACAAACAAACAAACAAGCAAACAAAAAATAAGCTGATATTACCGACAGACTGAGAAAAGTTGTATGCTCTTTGATTCTTGACAGAACCAGGTACACAACATGCACTGTGGTCACACTTTATCGGTGACCAGGTCGTCATTGCTTCATGTTTATGTTACGGCTTAAAGACACTGGATG